ATGTGACGTTGCATTACGCTTCAACAAAATATGTTGAGATTAATGGCTAAATTAAATGGAAAATTGGTCGTGATAAATTTCTTTATTTGAAATAAATTTATCGATATGCACTACTCTATTCCAATTACTTTTCCATTTTAATTCTTATTTTGGACTAATGTTACCATGTTTGTTAAATTACTATAAGTTTTGTATTCCTTCTAGGGATATATATGATCTCCCCTTCTCTAATCAAGAAACTTAACCATTTTTTAGTCTTCGTTTTAAACTAGAAATTTTTCCTTTACTTGGGAAAATGTAATAAAGAGTAATCAACTTTTTTTTAATCTATCTAAAGCTTTAGAATTATCAAATGGTATGTAAGTATTAAATCCATTTTTATTCATGGGCGGCAATCTTATCTTGATTTTAAGATTAGCTACAAAACAAGAAAGATTAAGAAAGAAAAAGAGAGGGAAAACTCAATGACTTTGTATAACCAAACCGTAGAAAGCTTGAGACAATAACTTAATATGTGCCATACCTTTTCTTCAATATACATATTTATAAGTGGCCACATAGTCAAAGCTTTATAGAAAAGTTACATTAAAGGTAAGCACATAAATTAAATAATATGGCCCAATAATAACATTACATAAAATTAAAAAACAGTGGTTGCATTAACTTTTTCAAAGATAGTAATGTCTCTCTAAATATTATATATTAAAAGAGAGCACAAGGCTTATTATTATGTAAGAGCCATTAATGAGGAGAGATTTTCTGAAACAAGAGAAAATGAAATCCTTTATAAATATATCAACTATGCTTGAAATATTTTTAACTTAATTTTTTACTAAAAAAATTCACATTATTACTTATCTTATTATAGTAATGATCACACACACATACATAGTAATTTTCTAACTACTTATTTACTGTAGGCTCATTCATATCTTGTTACAATTCACTAAATTTTACTTCTCTCATTATGTTTACTCAATTCTTAGACAGATTATTAGTTTTAGTAATGCCAATTCAAGTTTTATGAACTATATGAAGAAAGATCCGGATGAAATTTCAAAAGCTTTTCTAAATTAAAGTAAAATAAATTAATGTAATTTCCAAGATATATCAAATGAATTCAGCAAATCTCTAAGGTTTGGGTCATTCATTTACTTTACCTAAATTAATTTTGATATAAAAATTAAAAAAAAAAGTTAACTATTTAATCCAATAATTTTATTAATCAAACTAAGGTCTACAAAAATAAAATTTAAAAAAATTAAGAAATTCCAAGACCAAATTTAAAAAGAAAAATATTTTAAAATTTAATATTATAAAAAATTAAAAATTTACAAAATTCCACATGGCCAACTTAGAGTCAGTTTGGGGCAGCTGCAGCTGTGCTGCCCATGAAGATGTTGCGGGGAAGCTGACTGTCTATTTGTTGCAATTATGTGAAAACAGCTATGAGGCAACTTTTTCTGGAAAGATAACCATTCTGCCCTTATTTTGTAAAGATGTTTAGGACAGAACTGTGAAAACCACATATTTGATACTTCAAAAGCAAACATTCATTGGTTATCCAAGCTCCTACTCAACATGAAGAGGGGCATAGATCATTGTCCTTGATGAATTTCATCAGCATTACCCAATACAAAAATAAATTCAAGCAGAACAACACACCAATGAAAATCCTTTCACAAAATTGGGAAAAGCAATTAGAGAATATGATATGAAAGTAAATGAATAAACTTTCTCCTTCTTATATTCTTCCTTTTTTCTTGCTTTCTTTCTTTCTTTCTTTTGGGAGTATGACTAGCTCGAAGTGCTCAAGGATAGATCAGATTCTCATTGTCAGCAAAGTGAACGAATAAAGGGTTCTTAATCAACAAATTTGCATGTCTGATGAAGTGGGCACAACATAATATGATCTATGCTTATAATTCAACCGAGCTAAAAAAATTGAATTAGAAAGAACTGCATTAACCATCAAAATCAGAAGACTACAAACTAAGGTCAATTCTAAGTTATAAAAACATCTGAAAGGAACAAAGCAAAATAAATTCATAAGAACTTCTAGGGATACAACAAATTCGCAAACAGATGGTTAGGATCGATGGAAAAGAGATGCAACCCGATCCAGTGAGAGACCTAATGCAATCAAACACCTAGTCTAGTGATGGTGAGAAGGAACATGCAAGGAAATCAAGAGATCACAAGAGATCAAAGTCAACAAACCTGAAAGACAACACATGCCCGACTCGAGATAGGGTTCAGCTGAGGCAAGGGACTAAACAAATGAGAGAAAGAGCAAGAAGATGGTAGCGGTGAATCTCGTCGAACACTGCTGCATCATGTTGAATCGTTTCATCGCCGCCAATTCTCAATCACTACCCTCTTTCTCCAATTCTCCTCTTGCCAAATGCAACTGCGAGTCTCGAAGTCGCAACCCTCAAAGAAGACGAGAGGGGTAACGTGTAAAAATGCAATCCTGGAACGCCAGCTGTGAGGACGAACCGGTTGCCCGCATTTATCAAAAACGTCGGAAGTCACGGCTTGGACGTTGCCCCAAACGGGTGAAAATTGAGACACGAAGCCGCGCTCGGAATGGAAGCGCTCCTAAAGGGACCCTTAGAAACATAACCAATGATTAATTTTAGGATCAACATAAAAGCCCTAGGTTAATCAACTAAGAAACAAAACTAAGGATCACACATATTCTACAATTGTCTAGTCTAGAAGTCTTGATCAGACTACTATGTATCCATAGCTAGTACTAAGATAAGGACATATGAAACAAACAGTCTCATCCCCTTGAATTATATAGTTTCCCTAGGATGAAATAGCCCATGATTACTAACAAAAGCATCCTAAATCATCTAATAGTATGAAGGAATACATTAATCGTCACTTGGTAATAATGAAAAGCTCTGTACAATCTAGTTGGTTAGTGAGGATCCTAATGCACCTGGGAAGATGGAAAGTTATGGGCATTTTGATAGGGGACGTTATTACCAAAATTTAAGTTAGTCCACCAATATAATCTGCATGATAGTTTAGATTTATTCTAGGATTAAGGTTTCACCTCTATCTTGGAATCCCTCCACCTTATATGTCCCCTAGTCTAGCTAGGGTCAAATCCAAACAATAAAACCAAATCTCAAATTCAAAACTGAAATCTTAACCTTCAACAAAACTCAAATCCAAAGATTCAATCTCAAACCTCAAGTTTCAAATCATTTCAAAAACTGTTAATTCTGGTCAACCTATCATTTCAAACTTTCAGACATTTTTTCAAACCATAAAACTTTCAAAATCGCTTCAAACCTCATATCCAATCATTTTTCGAAGTACTAACTTTTTTAAAAAAAAAATCTACTTCAGGACTCTATAATTTTTGAAATAATTAAAACCTTTTTCAACACATGAATTATACATACATGAATAAAGGTCTTGACATTATTAAGGATAAAAAAAATTATGATATTTAAGAATGGAAAATAGTTATCACACCCGATTATTTTTTTTCCTTAAATTGGACATTTAGTAGGTGTGTTTGACACATTTTAAACCCGTGTGTCTGACTTGTGCAAGGCATTGTATGTCTGCTTGTGCTAAAGGCTCGGTGCATCATAGCATTTTCGGTATAATTAGTAAATTTTATGGCTCACATTGATATTTCAAAAGAAATTAAATTATATGCCTCATAATGCTACTATTTGGACAAATGTGTTCTCATATGCTTACTTGGAGAAAATTAATTCTATCAAAATATGGCTTCTTTATATGTCATATTTCTTGTTTGTGTTATCCAAAAATTAATAAAAATAATAAACATTTACATGCATACCGCACAATTCCTATGTATGTGCATGTCTAACACATAAATTTTATAATTATGTATTATTAGTTCATATTTTATAATTCATGCATTTACCTTTGATATAAATCTCCCTCTAAAACTTTGCCTCTACCACAACTTATAAATACCACTTATAAATAGGGTATTAGATAGATGACAAACCTAAGGAATGATACACAGCAACCTATATATGCTCCCTAGCTTTTTTTTCTTTTAGGTAATAAGCATCTTCTATTTTTTCTTTTTTTTTCTAGTTTTTAATCACTACTTGGGAAAATTAGATATAATTATAACTCATATATTACAAATATATTTAAGGATAAAGTTGCAATATATAAAACTTGATTTTATAAACCTAAACCTATCTACACTTATAATGTATCATAAAAACAAATGGAGTTTACTTTGCATTTTCTTAAAAAGTCTTGTGAATAATAGATTATGAGTATGCATTATGCCATCCAACTATTTATTCAATATTTCATTATATTCATACATCTAGTAATACATCTAATTTTTAAAATGCTTAGGACATTAATAAAATGATAGAATTTCTTGAAGCAAATAAATAAGGCTTCATAAAGTAAGTATTTTTTAAAGCCTTTCCAAACTAGTTAACCTTGCCATATAGTAGAAACAGAAATGCATAGAAATCCTCTGCAATTCAATTTGCATCAAATATATTACCAAATACGTTCCTATAAGTCAAAAAAATGAGTTTGGTCAGTTAAAACAATGTATAAAATGGTTCTCATTTCAATGATGATATAAGAATCAATAAAATGGCGTACATCATAGAAGTGAGAGAATATTACAAGCATGATCTGTATGAAAATACATCACAAGTTAGAAAAAATATTATATGAGGAGTCCTGATGCAAAATTATAATAGGACTTCAATGAAAGTGTCACATATTCATTGCATCAGACCATGTATTAAATATAGAAGTTTTTATAGATGACAAATTCATTCACATGTATGTAATATGTTTTCATAGAGGCTATTTTATAGAGATGACATTTCTCCAAAAGAATCAATAAAGTGATTAAAAATCAATGCTTGATTTTCTCACTACCCTAACACAATCAACATGCAGATATCTTCATCGTTCTTCATATCACCTATACTATCTAGTATCCAAGCTCCCACTTGCTCATGGCGGAGAGAGGACACATGGACAAAGGCAAAGGAACCAAAGACAAAGGCAAAAAAAAGGTTTTTCCGAACTGGGCTGTGAGAAAGCCAAGATCTGTGCCAAAACCGACCAACTTAGCCAGCACTTCAGTCATCGATATATCCTCCGATTCCGATGATTCAGCTTCTGTTGAAGAAATAAGCCCACCTCGATGTGCTCCTCCTCATCCTCCTCGTACTAAAAAGAAAGAGCAACATGAAGCTGAAATCCCCCCAGATGCCAAATTACTTCTAGACTGCGAAGCAGCAGATATTCTGCAAGAGATTCATGAAAAGTTGGCCAAACTCGAGGATCTCATAATGCCCGTTGCTTTTGACAAAGCGCTGCTGCAGACAAAAGATGGCATTCGTTATAGTAATACGAAAGATGTCAGAGAAACTGTGGAAACTCTGAAGGAATATGGTGTCACAGATTGGGAGATCTGTATGATAGCGAATGCTGGTCCGAAGACTTGTGAGGAAGCTTATGCAATGATACCTTCTTTGAGGGATAAAGAAGATGGCATTAGTGGTCCTCTTAATGCTGTTCTGGCCAAGCTTGCATTTCTCAAGCTTAAGGATGTGGATCGAGTTTAGAATTAAATCAAAATTATTAAATATTAGAAATATTTTGAAGAATATAATTTACTAAAGTATATTTTAGTGTTCCACATCCACTAAAATATGGAAAATTTGATTTTAAACTGTTCTAGGTTATGCTAGTTTATGAAATGTTTTTAGAATGATCTTTGTATTGTTGTGAAAATTGAAGCGAAATAAAATAGGAATCGGCACAAATCAGAAGAAGAACACAGAGATTTAACGAGGTTCGGCAAAGAATTGCCTACGTCCTTGGGAGCGAGCGGCGGTTTCACTATTTCAGAGAAGTTACAATTTTCATCCCATAGGGTTACACATATATATAGACATATGCAAACCCACAGATAAAATTACAATCACGCCCTCGCTCCCCACAACCCATTTTATTCCAAGAGACACTCTTTTTCACCAGGAGACACACCTCTTCACTAAGAAACTTCAACTCCCTAGATATGAGCCATACCTAACATATATAAGTATAAATAAATCTTTGGCCTTGTGATTTTGAGTATGAATGAAAATAGTAAAATTAATCTTCTTTAATTATCAACAGAAATTTCTCATTCAACTCTTTATAATCTCTACATATATGTTTGTTTCATCAAATTTTGATGGAATTGCATGTCTTATGATCTTTAGCTATGAATTCAATTTTTTTTGTGATTTTAAGTTTTAATTATTGAATATCCTTTTATCTAATAAAAATTAAAAATATTCCAATACAATTCATAGATTTATATATTAATTATGAATTTGGAATAAGAAACAAATAAAATAAACTCTTGTGTATCCATCTAAATTATTTTTAGTTTATTGTTTAAAATTAGGTGTTTCATAGTATTTGTATGATTTTTTTCATATCAACCTTATATTACAACATATATCCATTTGGCAAAGTTAACTTTGATATAAAATTCTAAGTCATGTATAAATCAATTGACACTAAAACATATATTGGATTTGTCTTTTTTAGCAGTACAACAAATTAATTAAAATATTTGAATATCAAAATGATTTTTAAATCATTTTCGTTTAGTTATTTTTCACAAATTATTCTTCAAAAGAAAAATCGTGAAATTTTAAATCTTAAAAGAATCTCAAATGCATAATCAAAATGATTTTTAAATCTATATACAAAAAAATAAAGAAGTTATATAATAATAACTAAATTATTTTACTTTGAAATTACATATAGTTATTGTAAATATTATAAATGACATAAAAATTAAATAAATCAAAACCAACATATGTCTAATTCAATACTATATATACACACAATAAAATTACCTTTTTTTTTTCTAAGAAACTTTAAGAAAATAAATTAATAAATATAGATCTAATAAGGGTATGAATAAAAAGTTATTTACTAAAAAACAATAGGACATTTTTTTATTGAAATAAGAACCTAGCAAAAGTATGAAGAAATATGGATTTATCAATATAAAAGAATTATAAATATAAGAAAATAGTTCTCTAACTACTAAAGTATAGATCTAAGCTAAAGCAAGCACTCATTTTTTTCAATATATTCTCACTTAGTTTTCTACAAGAAATTTTCTTAAATGATAAAACTGTCTCTGCTTAAGCGAAAGTTTGAAGTATCATTTAAATAAGAAATTTTGCTTTCTTAAAAAAAATTAATTATAGTTCAATGAAAATTGTCATTAAAATCATTTATACTTAAATACATAGATGTGGATCACATTTCTCTCAAATCCAATTTCCCATTTAAATATAATGAATTTTCTCATCTAATTAGCATTCTTTGTTCAAGCACAATCCATTTTATAATTTAAGCAACTTTCTTTAAGTCAAGCCAATCTTTCTTATTTAAGAAATTGAATTAGGTATAATCATTTATAATGAAAATCTCAAGTATATAGCAAAAAATTGTCTTTGTTGAGAAAATTCAAAGAACCTTCTATTTAGTCTGCTTGATATGAGTTCAATTTTTTTTTTTTTTATAATTTTTGGATAGTTTCTCTTTATTTAAATCAAGCCTTCTATTTAGTCTGCTTGATATCAGTTATTTTTTATTATGTCCTAACAAATTCATTTGAGGATGATTATACTACAATCTTTCAAAGAGATCTATGCAGATTGTTGGTTCCAAAAAAAAGTTTTTTAATGGACTCTTTATTTAAAATTCTCTAACAAATCTTTCATTATACCTAATTTGATCTCATATTCATATTTAAAAGTTCACCTTTCAATAAATCTATTTTATTTTCATTGAGATCTCTATTTGGGAACATTCATAGGGTGGACTACCTTCTGATCCAATATCTGGTTATCAATTTTTTAGAATTTTAATGGAGATTAATATGCTTCAAAGCCATTCAATCTTCATTAAATTAATTCTTTTTTTTTTTTTTTTTTTTTTTTAAATTGATATTCAAGAAGAGGCCAAGTTTGTGCTCGAATTGCTTATTTCTTTCCTATGAAGACTCCGCACATCTATCCTAGCATGAGGCATTTCTTCTACTTCATTACTTTATAAAATTTATGCTGACAATAGAAATGACAAGCTCAATGCTCAAAATGAATCATATTGTTTTTGAGGTTTTAATTAGTTTCTTAAAATCAAAATTCAAATATAAGTTTTAGAATAACCACTTATTCCTCGTTGGTGGCTAGCACATTTTATTTAAATGGTACTATAAATCAAATTTTGTCTGTTATTAATGTCACTTACAAAATTTTCCCTTCACCTCTTCAAAAAGTATAAGAGATTCTTACCATCACTTATGATTAGTTCCTTGGTTGGTATAAATGTAAAAACTAAAATTTAGCCGTTAGACAAATAAATAGTTATATGCTAACAACACTCAACTAATCAATTCAGTATATTCAATCAAACATTACAAGTAGAGTTTTTTTTTTTTTTTTTTTTTTCAAAACACTACAATCATGTTTCTACTGCTATATTATGAATCCAGAGAGGATAAACATACACAAATGGTATTTATACACAATCCAGAAATACAATCTATTAATTAATTTTTCAATGTCCAGATTCAGGGAGAATTAATTCTCTTAACTTCAGAGGCACTCTCCATAGTTTCACCTCCCAATTTCATTAACTGAGGAGATCTCTAGGTTTGTACCGTGGTCTTTCACCAACTGTGCTAGCATTACTTCCAAACGGGGCAGTTTACTTTACCGTCTATGATCAGCTCATAGGGTTGCTTTGTTCAAATGATGGGTGTAAACAAATGAGATATGCCGGCGTGAGGGACTGCATAAGGAAAGTTTTTAGGAGTGAGGCCATTCCTGGCTTCTACTGTGGTTGCGTAATTACTTTCACCAGCTTTGAGATGATCCACAGATTCTTGATCAGGATTTTCCCTCCTCAACAACAAACTCAAATAATGTAGATTGTAGTCCCACAATAATTGTGAAGCTTCAGCCTTTCATTCATTCTGCATGGTTGTAGTGGCGCATCTATAACCTTGTTTGAGTTGGGTAATTTTTTGGGCTTCTATAATCTTTACAGGTAGATAGGCGGTATGTTGAGCTACTTTGGCGTCAATATATTTCCGTAGGCATGGCCTGTTGGTTGGCGGGATCCACTATAAGTCCCCTCAAGTCATGGGTCCGAACCCCCGTGGCGCGGGATTCTCGAATATTTGGTACATGGTGTGGGCTCTCATCATAGGGCCAAAAAAAATATAGAAAATTGGTATTTAGGCCTCTGCTAAATACCATTTTCTTTTATATATATATATATTAATATCCATGAGCGAAGTTTATGATCATTACTCTCAGAAGATAAAGAATATTTAGTAGGTTTTCAAAAGATATTAAATAAACTTTATAGGCTTTTATTATGTCATGTACCAATGGATTTGTCCTCTACTATATCTCCTTATGTAACAAACTTTGCCCCCACCATTAATATATAATAAATTGGGATTGATTACTATCCTTTAAACAAGAGCACCAAAATTATTATATCTTTTATTTATGAAACGTAATTTTTTAGAACATATTCTTTAACTTAAGTATTTACCTTTAATAAAACTTTCCTATAAGACTTTACCTCTCCCACCACATATAAATATGAAGTTAGAAAGCAAGCCTGTTGATATGCCACACATTAACTCATTGTCTCAAGCTTTCAGTTTCTGGTAATAAGAAATCATGAAGTTCAATTCTCTTCTCATCCTCCCTCTATCTCTCCATTTTTGTCGTCAATCATATGCATGATGCCCATAAAAAAGATCTGATTCAACGCATTGAATTTCTTGGGCTATAGATTAGTCGCATAGAGTCGAATACTCCTTAATAATTGTGTACTTCCTTTTTACAAAAGTCCAAGTTACGCATCATTTTTAACTTGAACTTTAAATTTTGTTCAACTTAATTTATTAAAGTTGAAACAATATTATATATATATATATATATATATGTATATTATATATATATATATATATATATGATACTTTTTTCACTTAGTATTTTTTATATGTAAACAATAGAGTTGGAGCTTCCTACCATTAAACTACTTAATATTTCATCACATGCAGACAGCAAATAATGAATTTAATTTTTGAAGTGGTTAAGATTATTGAAAATGGATAGAAAAACCATTAAATAAATAAATTAAAACATCATAAATATTTACTTAAGCTATTCCATATCACCAGCTATTAGAAACATACACATTACATGATAAAATTCCTCTATAATTTGCATCAAATGTACTGCCAAATGCATCCTCATTTGTAGAAATATTGTGCTTTGGCCACTAATTTTTGCAACCAAGTAACAGTTATCCTTTGCATAAGTCATAAGAATCTAAAAATCTATTATCATCTCAATATTTCAAAAGAAATAAATGAAAAAGCATAAGTTAGACATTGAACATCAAAGAAGCCACTTTTTTGGATCAATAAAGCAATGCTTAATTCTTTTACCACATGACACAATTAATTTGTGAAGAAGTTCTTATGTATGAACATCCAAAGCTTTAAATATAATGCATTGACCGCTACTCTTTCAAAAGAAATTGAAGTTTTGAGTGGTTGAAATCTAAATTTTAAGTTTAGGCGACCAAAATGTTATATTTAATGTTTTGGATGATTGATACGTAAAAACCCAAAAAAGAATTAATGTGTGAAGAACTTTTATTGTTTCTCATATTATATTTTTTATGTCTTCTTTTCAGTATTTAGCACTAATGGCAGAGAGAAGGAGCAACCACAAACGCAATGGAAAAGCTATTATAGGAAGCTCTTCTGAATATGAAAATGAAGTTGAATTAGTTGAGTTTCCGCCCATGCCGGAAGACGAAGAAGCGAAGGAAGAATTTGAGCTTCCACCCGGTGCAAAATTACTTACAGATTGTGAAGCATCTGATGTTTTGCTAAGAATGAAGAAAGAATTGGACTCATTAGAGGAACCAAATATCAAAATTCCTATAGCTTTTAGCAGTACATTGGAGCACACTACAAAAGTTGTTGTGCAATATACTGATGTAAAGTCTATTAAGCAAGCCTTAGAAAGTCTCAAAGGCATATGTACTGATTGGGAGATATGTATGATAGCAAATACTTGTCCGGGGACTTGTGAGGAGGCTTATGCACTTATACCATCCCTGAAGAAAAAAGAAGAATGGATTGAAGAACCTCTTATTGATGTTCTATCCACACTTGCAAAATTTAGGGTTAAAGATTAGGTTTTGTAATGGTACAAATGTTCCGATTTAATTTTATTAGAGTTTTGGGATTCATGTTACTTATTAGTTCTTGAGTTAAGTACTTATTAGTTAGTTGTTTGAACAAATAACAAAAATATAGAAAGTCAACCTTTCCATTCAATGAAATAAATATGATGGTATGGCTTTTATGTGAAGTTTTTGTATTAAAGTGGTAAGTGACATGTTGAAATGGTTTTCTGAACTTGATAACTCGTAGCTATTTTTTGCTTGATTAACTTATAATTCAAAATTTTAGAAGGCACTCACTTTGGGCCATATAATTCCATTTTACGAAAAATGTTTAAATAAATTTTTGTTTTCCAAAAAAAGAAAAATATCTTCATGATAATCTTGTAATGTTGCTACTTTTGGGAGAGATCACAAAAGCTTGTAGTTTTGTTACTGTTGGGAGAAATCATAAAATTGATTCGAGAGATCCAAAGAAAAATTTAGATCAGAAGTGCAAAAAGCCAAATGAAAAACAAAAAAACACCAAATTTAATGTGGAAAAACCTAAAAAACGTAAGAAAAAAAACCACAGAGCCACACCAAGCCAAAGAATCCACTGTGAAGACAATGAGGAGAATTGCATAAATTACACTACATTCAAATATCTCCTCTCTTTAGAACACTTCAATACACTCCTCTCTTTCACACACGAGAAAACTTAAAATCCAATCTTTCAATGTGCATTCTTCCTGTAACAAAGACGATACTTTAAGTGTAAACCGCCCAAATTTGGTCACTGGCATGGGAATGAGAGTTGGGGTGTTAACCTTCAGGAGCCACAATGTCGTGCTCTCAAGTTTTTTAAACCTAGACTGGACATTGTTGTGTTACTACTCTCAGTGCTAAGGCACTACATATGAGCACTACGGTGCTCACCTTTGGGAGCTAGAGTGTTGTGCTCTTGGTTTCTGATCTAACCTGGGTGCGGTGTACTAAAAAAAAATTTTGGAGACACCACATTGTAGAACTTGGAAAACTCACAGTTAAGCATGATTGGTGAAACAAAGGGCTTTGAGTGACCAAATGCTTAATACAATATCCCACTTAGAGTGATTACATGTAATCATGTTGTTGTTGCATCTTCAAATTTATTAACTATCGTGTGGCTCAAACCTGTCTTAAGCTTCTTGAACTCCAACATAAGCCAAATATATATTCAATTTATCAACTATTACACCCTTAGTCAACATATATGCAGGATTAATATTTGATCACTATCTTCTAGGAGTGAAGAGATGAAATGATATTTCAGCTTAATGCTCTTTATTTTAACATGAAATGCAACACTCTTAGCTAGATTAATGGCATCCGTATTTTTGCTATGAAGCTTTCATTCTTTTTTTCGTTAATAAACTATGTCATAAAGCCTTGTAGCTAAATTATTTTCTTGCTAAACTATGTGATAATAATATAGTCATCTTCTATAGTAGATAGAGCAACAATTTTCAATAATCTAAAAAATCAACTCTCTGCTATGTTCCTCAAAGTGAAGATACAACCTATTGTACTTCTTCTACCATCGATATAATCTACAATATTTGAATCTGCATATCCCCTTAAATTAAATCCTACACTTTCAAATCAAATGAAGTGTTTTGTTGATTGCTTCTTTCAATTATCTGAGAATCCACATTCATTGCCTTCAAATGATAATTTCTTAAATTATTAATGTACCTGCAGATGATTTCCACTACATGTACATACAATATATGGTCTCATATATATCATCACATATATCAAACTTCCAATAGCTGAAGCATACAGGGTTCTTTTCATCAGTGTTTGCTCAGCTTCAGACATAGGTTATTGTTCTTTAGATAATATAAAGTGACTTCTTAAAGGGGTGCAAATTGATTTTGTAACACTCATGTTGAATCTGAGTAGGATCTTCTCAAAATATTATGCTTAAGATAATTAACTCAATATACATGCACTTTTGTCCCTACTAATACTAATACCGATGAAAATTTATTTTCCCACATCCATCCTATTTGCTTACCTATGATCCCTCTGATATTACACTTTCTCCTAAGGCTCATAAAGCTCTAGAAAAGTTCAAGCCTAATCATACCTAAAAAACTTTATGTACACTTTAGTACCAACCTTCTCAACATGACCATAATCAACTTCTTGTCCTCATTATTTAAATTAGTCTTAACACTAATCAGTTATTAAAAATCATGATTTTAGTGACTCGAAATTATTAAGAGTTGTGAATGAGGCTAAACAATTTTATGTTAAGGTGCCTTACATTACAAGATCTGCCACAAAATATGTGATTTTCTTAATGATGTATTTCAATTGGATGCATCGTTTAGATGATTTACTATGTTAGTATTCTTCTTTTGTTTGGTTATGTATTCCTTTTTTATAATTGTCGTTTATATTAACAATGCAAATTATTTTTAGGAAGACGTGGTGGTTGCCACATTCTTATAGAACAAAGCAAATAAGTATTATTCTATTCAAATAAAAGAAATTTATCTTTTTTTATGGAAGTTGGGAAATTTTATTTAACAAAAGAAGAAAAAATAATACCCTCAATCCACCACTAAAGTCACCCAAGGATTACAAGATCTCAGACAAAAACAGATAATGGCTATTATTTTAACAACAATGGAAAAGTTTAATTACAAGAGATTAATGATCATTAAAAAAAAAACTTCAAAGAGGGGTGAAAAATCAAAGCTAAAAAATAACAACAAATCAAATGAGGAATGTTTTTTTTAATGAAACTTTAGAAATTTCTTGGGGATATTTGTAAACATATGGATTTATGCGCACAAATTTGTGGGTATAACATATTTCATTGATTTTTAAAAATGTTAGCATTTATCTTGAGATAAAATTAAATTTTCATGAGTGTTAATTCATCAATTTGTAAGCATTAGGCAAATCACAAATTTAAAATTTAGTAAATTTTGTCACATTCATCCATGAGTCCACTATATTTCAAAATGAGAAGTGTATAAATGTTGTATTGAAACCCAAAAATAAGTGCTAAATGGCAAAATAACCTCTACTCATTCGCTTAACCATGACTCTTGAGTAGGTATTTATTTTTATGCATGTATTAACATTAAACTTACTTTAAAATTATTAATTGCAAGTTTTTATTGCAAGTTTTTATAAGAAACTAAATAAGAAATATTTCATTTATAATATATTTAGTAATTTTGTAAGCTTCTATCATCTCTTGTACCTTGCACCCCATTTTAATGTATAATAAATGGGGGATAAATTACTGTATTTAAAAATGAGTGTCAGAAGTAATATATCTTTCATTTTATGGAAAGCTATTTTTAAATCATATTCAATAATTGAGGTAATTACCTTTATTATAACTATCTTATAATGCTTTGACTCTGCCACTACATATAAATAAATAGTTATAAGTCAAGCCTAATGATATGACACAAATCTCATGCTATCAATTTTAAGGTAATAAGAAATCATAAAATTATTCTCCACTATTTTTCTTTCTATATCTCTAATTTTGTGGTTAATCATTCAATTGTTGTCCATAAGAAGTATTTGATTCAACACAATTAATGTGACAATGCCTTCATTGTTTCTCATATTATGTATATTTTTTCCTTCCAGATTTTGAGTTATTATGGCTGATAAAAGGAGTAGGGACAAAGGCAAAGGAAAATCAGTTATAGGGAGCTCCTCTAGACGTCCATATCAAGTTGTGTTTGGTACACTTCCACCCATTCCAGAAGAGAAACCTCTCGTGCAATATACTGATATAAAGTCTGTTAGAATAGCATTGGGAAGGCTCCAAGGCTTGTGCTCAGATAAGGAGATACGTATGATTGCAAATACTGCTCCGGTGACTTGTGAAGAGGCTTATGAACTTATACCGTCGCTGAGGGGTAGAGAAGATGAGATTGAAGATCACCTTAGTTATGTTCTAGCCAAACTTGCAAAACTTAAAATTAATGATTAGGTTTTGTAATCATGGTACTAATATATTTCAATGAAATAAACATGTTTTTTATGAAGTTTTGTTGTTGAAGTAGTGAGTAGAGCTGTCAAAAGAGCTTGTTGTTCATGAATAGCTCATCTTCAACTCTCTAAGCAAACGAGGTGAGCACGGATAATTTCCTTGTGCTTGATATATAAATGAGCAGAACAATAAATAGTGGTATTTTTTAATGAGTCGAACACGAGTCGAGCATGGGATTGCTTATGCTCGGCACGTTTATAACCTAGTGGTGACTGACCTATTGAGATGGTTTTTATGAATTCAAGAACTTGCCTCTAATTCATGTTGAGCTGAGTAAGTATCTAAACTTTTAAAAGACATCCACATGGAGCCATATAATTTTGCTTCAAGAGGAGGATTTCGAGAGAGTAAACCTAAAAGGGATAAAAAGAAATAGCCACAAACAAAATAAGGAAGATAGGAGGAGCCGACATAGCAAACAATAGTAGTACTTGTGCATCTAGTATGGATGGATCATCATCGCTCTCAAAAAGAACCAAAAGAATGAATAATATGACACATTAAATAAAAATACCAAAGAGAACATGTCCATATTCCTTAAAATATATTAAAAATTTACCACCAACAACATAGCATTCATAAAAGGAAGCCTCATTAGTTTATAACATAAATAATCAGATTATCATAAGTGAAAACAATAGAGACATAGGCAAATTATATCAATAATTCATGTATCTTATAAAGGATAGGAAATAGTAGTAAACAACAACCCATAATTTTTCTCATATAAAGAAGTAGGTTTAGATATGTAGTATGAATAAGTGGGTTTTCCTTAAGGAATAAAAAAGACTACTTATATAACCAGTATAGGTTTGTGATATGAAGAGGAATAAAGCTCTTGAACTTCCATGAACTGCTTTTAAATTCATATTATTCAAAATGTGATCATGTTGGGAAGAGCTATCTTTAAAGATACAAGAGTCCTAAAAAAGGTGAGTAAAGATATGACATGCTAGGA